TACTACTTCCGGTCCACGGAAATTACTCACAGTTTGAAAGAAGACAGACGATTAGATCTTTTACTTACATGTGAAATTTCATTTATCTATCTGAAACGGCAGGCCTACTCGAGTTATAGGCTTTTGAAAAATTGAAAGTAGAATAAGTTCCACATCTGTTTACCGGAAATCGCTGAAACATCGATACAGAACTAAAAATTTGATATAATACTTATATCTGAAATTTTATCATACACACATGCATACACACATTCAGACAAAACTATGTTTTTCCGACCAGTGGCGTAGCGAGGTCGGGTGTCACCCGGTGCGGCACTTAATGGTGTCACCCCCCAGAGGCGTAGCGACCCTTCCCGGGGACTAACTTTTAAATTTTCGATTTGCATCCCCCCTCAAACTTTCGATTTGCACCACCCCCTAAAGCTTTCGATTTGCACCCCCCCCCCCTCAAGTTTTTCTCTATATATTTTGCTATTTTTTGCCTTGGTGTCACCCCCCTAAATTGTGTCACCCGGTGCGATCCGCACCCCCCCCCCTCCTTGCTACGCCTCTGTTTCCGACAGTGTTATATAATAATATTTGAGAAAGTTTTGGGGAGATCACTCCCGGTTTTTTTTGTGTGTAGAATAAATGCTAGATAGACGATTCCTTATTTAAAAAATATAGGTCTCCCATAAATGAAGTCACCCTAACCTAGCCGACACAGATGCCCCCCCTCCCAACCTGCTTCTTTCACCCGCTAGATTTACTGGTTTTGATGGTTTCTCGAAAAACTAGCATAAATTTCTCGTTAATGAACAGGTTTTTCATTAATTTTTTTTCTTAAAGTATGCAAGATAGATGCACAAACATTTTATTTCTCTCTTCATCGTTAGTGTGTTGTTACTTAATTTAGACTCCTGATCTCAATTTTTACACTACAAATATTTAGAACCTACCCCTTTCTTTTTTTATACAAAGATTCTACCCCCCCCCACCCCAACCACGAACGAAAAAGAATTTATATAGAAAACATATACTTTCATCAGTGTCCGCCTCCCTCCCCCCCCCCCCCGTGGAAAATATCAAGTGCCCCTTCCCCCCCCCCCCCCCTCCGGAGAAAAAAAAGTCTGCAAGAAACACTGTTTCAGTAGGCATCATATTTATTTATTTTGTAATAGAATCGTTAAAAAAAAACATTTGAAGTTGGTGCATAAAAGTGAAAACAAAAATTAACAAGTCAATTTAATCAATTACAAAGTAAAACTGCAGTATGCAGCTTTTCCATGCTATGGTCGCGTTTCAATGTACAACACGCCGCGCCACACGCGACAGGAATGACCGTGCGACAAGCGCGTGGGGGGGGGGGGGAGGACGGACGGCGGGGCGGTGACAGAAACGTGTGCTGGCTGCCTGGTCTGGGAGTGATAGAGAGAGGGGACAACAGTTAGGGACGGAGTGGGGAAAGATAAAAAAAATTGTGTGGTTTTTTTTTTATTACACCAGAACTGGAAGGGTGGATAACGAGGTTGGAGATGATTAAAGATGGATATTGAATACAAGCCGGCTACATTAGAGAAGTGACATCACCAATAAACAGTTAAACATTGATGTCTTAGTGGTTAATGTGCACACAGGTAAGAAGAACATGTTTACCATAATCATCTTTGATGTTTATTTTTTACCTTTGGTTGTTGTTGTTTTTTTTAATAGTAGAAAAATCAGACACGACTCCAACTATATTTAAAAAAATAAAATTGGATATTGATTTCCTGGAATATTTAAACACCGACGTAAATAATTAAACACCTTTCTAGAACTAAGTGTATTTTTCTTTGTAATGGCTGTGTACAATACGTTTTAACAGTGATTTTTTGTGTGTAAAAGAATAGGTGCGGTACTCAGTGATGGATTGCCTAACTTGTAACTACTAGTTAACACCTTGATGCAATAATAAACGTTCAAATACAAGAAAAGTAATAATTTTTCAACACATTGAAAAAGGTGCCGGTACGCCGTTAGCTGGAATGCTAACCCGTATGTCTCGAGTTCGAATCTGGGTTCAAGTCAGTATACCGTCCCTGAGTCCACCCAACTCTGATTGGTACCTAACTCACGTTAGGGAAAGTAAAGGCGGCTGGGCATAGTGCTGACCATACTATCTCTTCATATGCCGAGATCACAGAAACAAGTGAACTCTACTTCACTTGCCCCATAGACCGTCAGGTTTGAAAAGGGAACTTTATTTTTACGCCGTACCCGTGCGTATTGTCACAAAAAAGCACTGTCTTTAAACGCTGTAACATAGTACACAAAAGAACACAACATTCACCTGTTCATAAGTCTAATACCAACCATAAATATGTTTTGGTTTTAATTGTTGTGTGTTAAGTCATCGATCAGTAGCACAGGTTTGATAAGTCTAGCGAACAGGGGCGATAACAAAGAGCATGATAACAAACATGTGCGATAAAAATCAGCAACGATAACAAACAGACGCGGTAACTAACAGTTGTGATCTAAAACTAGCAAGATAACAAACAAGCATGGTGGCAAACAGGTACGATACAATATATATCTGGCGCGTTTATAAACAGACGTAATACACGATCATAAACAGTCGCGATAATAAACAGTCGCGATAACAAACAGCGCGATAACAAACCGGTATGTTAAAATACAAGGTAACAATCAGGCATGATTACAAACATACGCAATACGCAACATGCACGATAACAAACAGGGGAGATAATAAACAGGGGCGGTAACAAAGAGACGCAACAAGAAAACATGAAACGTGTACTTAAAAAAAAAACAATAGCTACAACTTCACGTTTTTCTCTCCGTCTGTCGAGACTGTCTAACAGAGCTGAAGAAATCGACTCATACTACTTGAGCCGCATGGTATGAGCCATTTAGTATGAGCCATATAGTATGAGCCACATGCTATGATTGCCATGTTTTGAGCCACATTGTATGAGCCAAATGACATAAGCCCCATATGATGAGCTGCATTGTTTGAGCCACATGGTATGACTGGTACATTATGAGCCACATGGTATGAGCCACATGTAGAGGTATGCTCCATATGTTTTGAGCCATATGCTATGAGCCACGGTATGGACCACATGAAATAACCCGCCAGATGAGACAAAATGTAACATGTTATGTTGAAGAGATCTGACATTTACAGTTCATCTTTTATTAAATACGAAATTTCCTCCCGATTTTTAAATTTCTTTCAGATTCTTCAGACGTTAAGAAAGAGAAAATAAAGAATTTCCTTTTAAACACATCTTGCAATCGTATTTTAAAGTTTTTTTTCTTCTAAAGAAACAGCTTATTTGTTGTTTTTTTTATATATATTGCGTCATGCATTAATCGAATTCTGCCTCGCGTCGCTTGCTCTAATTAAAGTACAAAATATCCTAGAAAATTCGATTAACTAAACAAACAGAATTTCAATTTTCTTCCTTTTTTTTTCTTTTTAATTATGATGATCTCATTCTCGCCATACTTTTTGGACGGAAGTTAAAACATTAATTTTATCCGACAGCGTAAAGTCATGTGCTAGTTATAGGTTTATTGTTTTGTTTTGATTTATACAGGAGGTATAAAATATATCATTAAAACTTTACTGCTTATACAATATTAGCATAAAGAGAACCGCAGATTTTAGAAGTAGAGTTGTAGTTTTACATGAGCCGCATGATGTGAATGTATTGACATTAGGGCTACCTCTATATGTCAGTCTAGCAGCAACTTTTCTTGATTGCAGCTTACTGCTACCTCTGTCTATCAATGTCCATGCTACTTCTTGGGGTATCTGTCATTCTTGTGCTATATCTGACAGCCAGTTAATATATGTGCTCCTTGGAATTGTACTTTTAGATGCTACCTATAACTGTTTACATAGGTGCTAACTCTACCTATGTACGGGGTTGCTAGCTGTCTGTTTAAGTGCTACCTCTGACACTTTCCGATGTGGTGGCTACATCTATCAGCTACCGATGTAGTTACTACCTCTGTCTATGTACACATATGCTAGCTCTGACTGTCAATTTAAATGCTACTTCTAACAGTTTTCAATGTTGTTACCTCTCTGTATTTAGATTCTAGCTATGACTGTCAATACAAGTGCTACCTTCGACAACTTCCGATGTTGCTACTTCTGTCTGTGTATATAGATTCTAGCTATGGCTGTCAATACAAGTGCTACCTTCGATAACTTCCGATGTTGCTACCTCTGTCTGTGTATTTAGATTCTAGCTATGGCTGTCAATACAAGTGCTACCTTCGATAACTTCTGATGTTGCTACTTCTGTCTGTGTATTTAGATTCTAGCTAAATGGCTGTCAATACAAGTGCTACCTTCGACAACTTCCGATGTTGCTACTTTTGTCTGTGTATTTACATTCTAGCTATGGCTGTCAATTCAAGTACTACCTATGTCTAGCACCCCAGTACCTTCATAACTCATGCTTATCATGTTAACTCCCCCCACCTCCCCCACTTCTATCTACTATATATCCTCATAAGCGCCGAGTTACTAATACAAATTGTTCCACGTCATGGGTCCTCACGCTCAAGTAAAAAAAAAAAAATAAAACCCCGCGTCACAGAAAGGCGTGAGAACCCCTCCAATTGGTGGGATATTGCGTGCGGTAATGTAATAAATTCGCCGACCGCCAACTGTTAAAGCATCGAGTCATCTCCGCGGTAAGCACTTTCGTCGTTACTCCATCACGGAACTTGGGGGTGACCGACACGATAGGAGCCAGAAAACCAATCGGCTTTTAGAGCGCGCACCTCTCTGAAGTCCCCGATCGACCTTGTTTTTTAGACCGTTTTTTTTTTTTAAAAAAAAGGATAACTGAACGCGACAATGGACATTGACGGTCTGTCTTGAGTCGTTTGGATCAGCGTTATTGATTTGATGGTGCCGCAGTGGAAGTGGTGGGGGCCATTATGGGGATAGGAGTGGCCGTGGACGAACGAATAACTAACTTGCGACAGACATTCGACAAGTACTCAGAATGTTGCGTTTTGCTGACGCAAAGTTTAAACAGAAATGTCATGAAAATACAAGGTGTATTTTGGAGATTGTTAGATTGTTATGTATTTCAACCTGTGCTTTGTGCATACACCTGTCATTTTCCAACTGCCTCATCGTTGTGGTTTGTGGTTTTTTAAATAATTATTTTTATTCTTGTTTTAATCTCGGAATCAATTAAAATGGCGTAAATTAGTATAATTATTCTTCTTTATAACATGCGACATATAAACATTGTCACATTCCCTTGAACATTTCCTCTTTTTAGCGCAATTTCCATTCTGGAGAATTGCGTTTATTAACCCGTCATTTCTGGATGTATGAATGTATGAATGAGTGAATGAATGGATGGATGTGTGTCCGCAGCTTTAAGTCGTATCTCCTCCTCAACGAAGCAATATCGAGGACTAGTTCCAAAAGCAATTATGTTAAGCAAGTTACGCGGATGAACATAGGCCAAAAAAATTCCGGGTTTCTTTCATGGATTTCCCGGAAAAGCCAAAAAGCCTCGAAAAAATGCAGTTTTTGGCCCATATCTCGGCAACCAGACCACTTAGCGACTTGAAACATGTAACAATAGATTACTGCCATAATTTAAAACAATATTGCCGAAGAAGGTTTTCAAAAATATCCTTTCGTTCGGTCACAAAAACTTTTTTGAATTAATTAAAATTTGGAAAGAATTAGTAGGCATTTTTATCCAACCACACCACACGCGTCATCACGTTCAATAGCTGCGCCATGGCCATCACGTTCAATGGCTGCGACATCACGTTCGGTAGCTAGGCGCGCAATGGTTTTTAGTCATGTAACTCTATTGTAAATAAAACATGTAAAATACTGAAAAAAAATTAATAAAAAACGTTTTAATAACTAACTAATGGTTTTACTAACCCTGCTCTTGATTTACGCTACGACAGAGCTATTTTTAGATAACATAAGGAAATTGCGCTTAAATGTCACTAGACTTTTTAATTAACTTGTTTTTGTGACACATCGTCACAAAAAATATAGCCCAAACATCCTACACCCATATACGTGACGTTATTTTAAGGAGGAATTCTAAAAAACAAAAAAAGTAGTTCACAGCATCTGAAATAGTAGCACTGTTTGATTTAGACTTGCCGGGTGGTCAAAGACAACGGACATGCATTAAATAAGATAATACAACACATTTTAAAACATTTGTTGTATTTCTTGCTGAGCTTAAAAAACTGCCCATCCATGGAGGGTCCCGCCTATGTAGGCTAATATCCAGCATCTGTTGCCGCTAATTAATTACATCTTTGATAAATGACTGCACGCGGCGAAGCTAATATTTTATGTTCAAACCACTTTTCTATTTATACTTGACGCAGCGTGTTATAGCCTTTTTTTTAAAAAGTCGAATGCGAACTTGCACTTATTCTTAAATTCTTGATGTTACATGCTTTAGGCACTTATCCTTATAACGTAATAGAGCATGTTCTAGGCACTTATCCCTAAAGTTATAACGAAACATGTTCTGGGCACGTATCCCTAAAGTTGTAACGGAACATGTCCTAGGCACTTATCCCTAAAGTTATAACGAAACATGTTCTAGGC